AGAAGAGCTGCCCCACTTCCCCCTCCCCTCCACCTTATTTAGTGTCGAAGTATTTGTCTGTAGCTGCGTCGCGTTGTGAGATTGGAGCTCTGTATGAGGTGGTGTACTTCCATTGAGCTTACATCCTTCTTCGGTATTGTATGACTTCATCCGGATGTGATCTCGAGATACCACGTGCAACGAAGGTTCAAAACCAGAAATTCCTCTTCTCAGAAAGCGCAAATCTTTTGCAGAGATTCTGCTATAGCGAGAGCTCCGCCATCCCCGACTTTGGCTCGACCAGACCTACAGACCTTCTGAAGACTTCAGTGCACGTCTTCTTCCTGTGATGAGTAGGATTAAAAGCACAGAGGCGCTGACCATGCTCTGTGTAGAGCGCACCCCTCAATCATCTCCACTCCAATGGCTGTGACTGGAAGAAATTTTATTTCTAGATCACTGATCTAACGTGGTCCGAGTTACTCCTTTGCCAGCTAAGGATTCATTGCTAGGATTTATTGATACAAACGTAACTTGTCGCTATACTGCGGTTTCATTTACTCTGTTAACCTGACATGTTTTCAAGTCTACGGATGCACCGCGATCTACGGCGAGGCAAGAAGCTAGGCAGCGATCCATCAAGCGTTGATCTGATCTATTCATTATTGACACTTGTGCATGCCCAACATACCTGCAGGTGTGGAGCGGCAGTCCACATTCGACTCTCACTTAGCGAATTGCGCGAAATGCGCTTCAACCTGGCCGAGATCCCACAGCAAACAACATGCGGCAAGCTGTCTATCGTGGTTAAGTGTAGAGAACAACTAAACGTGGAAGGGCACATTGACTAAGGTAATCAGGCGAGTAGCTTGATTTTCTTAGTCATAAAGCAGGGAGTGCGTCATATCACATCATTCTGTTTTTTTCCACCAAATGTTCTGTGTATATGAATGCATCCACTGCTCACTTCTATGTAAGGCAAATGTATAGTCGAACTAAGTTATGACTTGCATATATCCAGAAATGTTTACATGGTATCAGTAATAATAAATCATAGCGTAATTCCTCAATGTTCTCTTTACGTAAACATGCAAGACAACTCACAATGATAGAGTCAAACATGTAGTTCCTCCTCAACTTTTCCACGCTTACGTCACATCATTACACACATGATTTCGGCTCTTTCACGATATTTGAGTGATTTCAGGTAAAATAGTACAGCAGCTTCACGCTCCTTTGCGTGTCCAAACTTATTGACTTCGAATGGGTAACATTCTATTTCTGATTACGGATATATGCATTTTGTCACTTCAAATCGCTACATCCGCAATGAATGGCTGGATTCTCTTCACTCGCTTCAAGTACGTTGTGACCTTTTTTGACCTATGAACGCAATGCTTAACACACCTAAAAGCAGCGTGGACTGACGCCAACGCACACTGTCTAAATTCGTTCCCTTCTGGGTCGCACGTTTGCAGTGTTCCTGTAAGGCGGCGTTCAGACCTCGCGATGACGCGCGTTGATGCGCTGCCCATTGCAACGGCGCGTTGAAGTTGCAGATGGGACTTCAACGGGAGATCGCGATGGGCTGGCGCCGGCCGCTAGTGCTTTAAGAT